AATTTTCTTTCAACCAAGATGACGGATAGTCTCCCTAATCAAAGATGACGGACTTTTMCTGATCCAAGATGGCAGACAGTTTCTTTCATCCAAGATGGCGGACCACACCTAATTTAATAAAACAATGGTCAATGGATTAAAACTTAAAATTTATAATTGAAAATGCCCATGAAGTAAATAAAATAATTTACAATGTATAATAGGTTCAATAGAGATACATTTAATCATAAACTATCAAAAAACAAATTTACTAGTGAAACAAAAAAGGATGACTACAATATAATAAACAATGATAACGATGAAATGATAATAGCGAAATGATAATGATATAACATATAATAACAATCTAATGACTACTTTAGATAAGTTAAGTTGTACGAGTAATTGTTAATATTGGCTTGGCAGTTGATTGACAACCACTACATKGAATCTATTTGCTCATCACATTTTCGGTTTTCTTTCACACATTTGGTGTTTAGATTTCAATTCCCTTCTACGAACGGAATCCTTTAGATACGGACTAATTGACTAAAGCAACACAATATCATAAACTATATTTACCGAGATATACGTAATAACCTAATATAAATTACGCCAGAATTAGGCAAAAATTACAGTTTTACTCCTGAGAACGCCGAAAAGAGATTTAGAACAGACTTTATTGATCATAATTACAGATATCATCTTTAAAGGTCTCTTAGTATAGCCATTATTTAGTGGCCATCTCTTCCTTAATCATTGCAAAGCCGGCTACAAAATCAGACACATCGCCTTCGACAATTACACCTCATTTAGATGTTAGGATTATTCAACGAGAAAAAAAATATAATGTTATTCATAACTCAGGGCGAAAATGCCTATTTTYATTAATAAGTAATGAGTAGCAAGCCAGACCTAAGAGTTTACCATACCAAAAATGAGAAAAAAGAAAACATAAAATATGCAAAAGAGCGTTTTATGAATCCTTTAAGCCAAAATGGATAAGATATCCTTTTCGTTGAATATTATATTGATATTCCCAATTCCCATTAAATGTTTCGMGGGTATTTTATGACTAAGATCCTGGTGTGRTTACTTTTAAGGTCGGTAAATGCCACCACCGTAAGAAGCAATTTTCTGCCCTTGATTCAGTAAAAAATCTTAGAAACATTTTAGGGCCATTAAAATCACTTACGCACGGTTTGAATCTTATAAAGAGACCATGCAGTTAGTCACTCGGAGTAAACGCTTTTTGATTATAGTGACAATTTGAGACGAAACACTAAAGAGGTTTTATAATGATTTCCCTTAATCTAACAACAGAATACAAAACATATTTAAGTCATAATCACGACGAATTTCTCAATTCAAATTTCAAGGTTCTTTAAGATAGATATACAAGTTGAATTGCTCATTCAAACACTCAAGCGAACGTTGAGTATTGTTACTGGGAGGAGCTGTTCTTAAGACCGAAATTCGTCGTTTCATTACAACCATTGATATAAGACGAGTTGATTCTAATCAAGAGCTATTTCACCAAGGACACGGATGACGAACTTGTTTTTCCTTTGTGGCGTGTTATCATTAAATATTTAAAAGCACGCGTTGTCAAATCACTTTGGCTATATTCCATGTTATCGAACGAAGACAGATCTATCAACAGTAACTTTAGATTAGCCTAGAAGTGTATATTACAAAACGAGCGTAAATGCCTTGATCTAAGACAAATAACTAGCCAAGTCAAAAGATGCTTTCAAGAAATATCTTGGCATTATTGGTTTGATTGATGTCAACATTGATTTTGCGTGCCATTCCAACGAGGTAAGTTGAAAATTGTAAATTTGTTAAACCGWAGTAATCTCTATACAAAAGTATACTCCTGCGCAGAAAGACACATCRATAAATTTTGAGGTTTTTTYGTGTATTGGTTGAGCAAATWCAGTTCCATTCAGAACAAGTTCTTATTTACTATATTGAACAGAACTTTAGCTAAAAACCATCTACTAAAGTCGGAAAACTTCTACAGATTGTCATGGATTTGTATATATTTTCTTCAAATACAAAAACTATCCTCTACAGACTATTTTGTATTTCATTACTATCACTCAAAGTAATCAGATCGAAAAGGTAACTGGAAAAGTAACTAAATCAAATATTTTGGGTTTGAATAATACTCCAGGAATATACATTAACTAATTCGAGCGATATTCAATGGGTTTAGGAGCGAGGAAAGTTATTGGTCGAGAAAATTGGTTTTTAGGAACATCAATTTTATGTGAAATTAAAAGTGACTGTTCTGGTCTTAATGAGACCCCATATACTACTTTCGTTAGTACAAACATTTCAGTTAGTTTGTGAACAATGCGTATGTTTTGTCTGGACAGGAAGTTTTCATGTTTTTATGTTTTCCAATCAATGCTATCTTGGGGATGGATTATCAAGGATTATAGGTCAAATAAACAAACTGGTACCAGTAGACACAAATTCAACAGTTTAATCCCCAAACAAGATAAATGTACCAAAACGGAAAAACCTCACGAAAACAAGATATCCGAAGGCATAAATGTGATACTTTCCCAGACAAATCAGCGGTTTCAGCCACTAATATCGACGCCCAAGCGTCTAAGAGCCATATATAGTAGTTTCGACTTTTTTTTCACTGTTTTTTCCAGAGGAATTCCCACAAARCAAACAAAAAACTTGTATCAAAATCCACGTTTGGCACAGAGCCTATTAACTGCCATACGCTCAAACACTTCGCTTCATAAGCTTTAARGAATACCTATACATTGATCTCTACCGTGAGACGGTTTAAAACGTGGGTTTGTGGTGAAACCCAAGAAAKGGCCCAAACAACAAGTCCTTCAGAGAGGCTTTGTTCAGATCTAATGTGTTTTTCACCACAKTCAATCAGTTTCCTATTCAAASCATTYCCCTCATARAAAGGTTCGTTTACTATCACTGCACAATCAATAGAATCTTATTAGTCGGTGTGATTTGGATAGATTGATTGTTTTTATGGGGTATAATTTGTGGTAGAATGTGAATGTACTTGTGGCAACATGGTGTTGGTTGAGGCAGCGTCCAGCAACTTCAAACAAGCCGAGCAATTTTAAAGCTGATCAAAATACATRCATGTCGAAATAAGACAGTGTGGCTTCACCGCGTAAGAAGCTGCAATATAAATATTTACTTACTACAACCCATCTTYAGTTTGATGGTATGTGCGTGCGCTTTTTTAGCACATGTTTTAATTCAATAGTGTCAATCTATCAATACATGGAAGGCTAACTGCAGGGAAGACGTGTCGTAAATGTGCTTTTATCTTATATTACTGATATAMGTCCTTGAGCCATGTCCCAAAAAATCAAAACAACAAAGTAATGTATGCAAGAGACAAAAATGAAAAGATTAAAATGGAAATTGATTTTAACTTTAGAGATTTTGTACTTCTTTGCGGACTTGTACGTCAACCACTGACTAAGGAACAGTTGATCAAAATCAATAAGCAAGTTTTTCATAGACGACTTAAAAGATTGAAAAGGAAATTGACATTAAATAAAATTGAAAAGGAAATTTTGTTCTGCTTTTTGAACTGTTGTGCGTCAATCACTGACCACGAAACGTATGCTGACGTGAAGTATACCCTCCTTCTTTCTCCATAATCTATATACATACTTCTATATATATCAATATTTAAGGTAATAGTCTTATTCCTATCGGGATCATAAATACKTTTTCTCACTGACACATTATTTGAAATGTCTGGAATATAAGCTGCCAGAAAGTGGAATAGCAAATAGCAAATGTTCTTGTATTACTTAGAATTTATATTACTAAGATGAAAATGTAATTCCGGCCGCTTTTAGCAATTACTGTGAAACTTGTAAGTGATTAAGATCTTTGGATCATAATTTGGCTGGGATCTATGGCCACTCCTCTCTCCCCAAGAAGAAACTAGGATGCATTGCCTATTGAAGATGGCTACCAGTTGAGATCTTTCCATTTTCAGTTAGCAAATTGGCAAACTGTTTCCTKGTCTGACCAAGATAGCCTTAATTACCAGACACCAAGTGTAGATGGGCATTTTCAATTAATATCATCGTCAAATAAAACGTCGCTTATTAAGATGAAATGACATTAATTAAAACTCCTATCTATAATTGGTATCTGCTTGCTGCAAACGCCATCTTGATAAGATCATGAAGACGTTAACCAAATGGAAAAAGTGGTCAGACATACTGCCAATGCAAGCTACTAAGAAAGCTTAGGAGCGATCCATTAGAATTTTAAGGGGGGGGGGATTTTGGAAAAAAAATCCTTCACGACCCGAAGTGCCGAATAAAATTCCTGCAAGAAAAATTCCTGCAATTTAAAAAAAATCTATACTAAATCTTTTGTAAATTTACAAAAAAATAAAAAAAAAAATAAAAGCGCGCGCCTGAAGTCCTAAAAAAGTCCCTTGTATCGCATAATGTAATTCTAATGTATCGCACCGTAGTTGTCACTTGCTGACTCTTTCATTTCCAATTAAGAAGTCAACATTTCTAAAAAAGACAGCAATTCGAAAATCCAGAAGAAAATGAAAAAAAAACAAAATTCTGACGATTTAGTAAGAACGAAAATCGCAGTCACAGAGAATCATGTATGTTTCCTCCGAAACGTCAGTAAGTTATTTCACCTACTTTTTTACGCTGTTAAATTTATCTTTTCACACAACTGTCTTCTTAACAGGTGGGAACTAGCGGTAAACTAGTGTGAGCTGCGTCGGTGTTTCTAAAGAAACAGTTGTGTAAAAAGATAAATTTAACACCGTAAAAAAAAGAAAAGTATGTGAAATATCTTACTTAGTAAGTTATTCCACATACTTTCTTTACGGTATTAAATTTATCTTTTTACACAACTGTCACTTCTAAACAGACAGGTCTACCCGGCCGGTTCGGACGACATGAAAAGCGCTCTAAGTTTAGGCATATACAACAATCTAACAAAGGAAAAAAAAGATTTTGCTTTCTTCAGAAAAATATTACATGATCTAGGTAAAAGGCATAACTTATTTCTTAATAGACCGGTCTGCCGACAAATTTCGCCATGAGAARACGTCAAAGACGTGTTTGACTAAAAGATGCAGTACGAAACGCCCTCATTTGAAAATAATGAGAATAAAGCTTAAAGTTAATTCTAATTCACTGTAAAGTGTTTGCCCACAATAATAACTTTTAGCCGCTTAAGAGGATCGCTTGTGAATGACAAGAATAAAGAGTAGAGACAAAGCCCCATTCTCCTTCTGTGTGTAGAGTTTTAGTATCATTCATGACATACAGCTATTTCCAAAAAYGTTGTCGGGGAGAACGGCGAACGGCGATTGTCGAAGGGAGATTGCGTGACCGAAAGGGACTATGGTTACATTGTTTTGACAAACAAAATTTCACTTATTGGATTCACCTTGCAGTGAAATGGAGACTAAATGGATCCAATGTTTACCACAGACCGTCTTACAGTACAAATCAGTTGTTATTGCCTTTCAACWRGCAAAACCCATGACTACTTTCGGTCGTGCATTCGCCGTTCGGCCATTGACATTCGCCATTTTATCCGACAACTTTTTTTGGAATAGCTATATACAAGAAAATTGACAGTTTCTTAAACTTGGCCATCACGACTGATTGACGATAAGTGTGGATTAAAGGGACCACCTCTGAATGGCAATCTTCCGCGGTACCAAGAAATGGGTATAATTATTTAGAATACTTCATGTATAACTTTGATAATGATCATGTATAACTTTGATTATGATATATAACGAATTGCTGATGCAATCACTAAAAATTAATTAAAAAATCAAAAAATGAACATCAGGATGACTGGCATATTTACGCGGTACATCTACGAGCGGCCCGAGCCATATTTTTGGGATTGCACGACCGAAAGTAACTATGGGTGTCATCAATATTTATGAGAAATACTCCCCAGTGTTCATTGGGAAAAAAACCGGAACAAACAAAAAACAAAACAAAACAAAACAAAACAAAGCAAAACGAAACAAAACGAAACGAAACGAAACAAAACGAAACGAAACGAAACAAAACACCAAAAGACCTTCAACAAAACACCCCAAAAACTTCTTTGGGAACTATAGTATCCTTTGGGAGTGAATATTAGTAACTCGACAGGCGCGACAGGCGTCTGATTAGTATAAAACATTATCATAAGGTTGCTATTAGAAGTTATTTGATGGCTGAGGTATTCAAAGTGAAAATTTAAATATTGTATTACCGTACAATTCAAAGTGTTTTTTGTGTGAGTATATGTGTGAAAAATAATTCAATAAAAAAGTATACCTTTTTCAATCAAGGAGGCAATAAACAAGAAGGAAAGAATCAAAGCTTTTAGGTAGCTCTTAGGTATCTTTATTTAGGAATTTGTTTACTTTTTCCTTTAGGTATCCCACGATTCAAAGGGCGGTAGCATGAAAAGAAATTAAAAGCAGTTTTTTTAACCCYGTCCGTGTTCAGAATTAAACAGATGGACAAAATTAAAACTAAGATCTATTTTTAACCATAGAAGTATAAAAAATTTACTGACGTTTCAGAGCTGATCGTATTTCTCGAATAACTTTTAAAACTTTTTAACGGGAATAAACCTTGTTAATCACGAACGTAAAAGAAAAGAGTGTCAGTTAACYGAATTCAGTGAAGAAGAAGTTTTTTTTCATTAAATTTCTAATATTTTTATTTTTGTTTATRTTAGTTTGACATTCTATTACTTTGACAATTTTATCTGGTCATTCTATACTACCTAACTCCTCATTTTAAACACTTCAATAGAGTTTCCATATGATAATATCGAAGTTATAAACGAGAAAAAATATTATCAACCGATTAGGTTTATAGAATTTCCTAGAGGCTTCGAGACGGCTAGTACAATAAGACTATAAAGAAACAAAGCTTTCAAAAAAGAAATTAATCTTCCCCCTAAAAATAAAACAAATTTCTCATTACGCCTCGGCATAACTGTTTCCATTCAACAACATAAAACAATTCATTTAAAACTTACAAAGGAAAACCTYATTTCATCTCCCCTATAATTAAATAAGAGTATTTTCTAAACGTAACGATGGACCAACCGCCAACCAGCTACCTTATTTTGGCTTAGAAGTCGCTAGATCAATCTTGAATGCAATTTCGCAAAATTTAATAACAGTTTTTAAAAAAGTACCGAAATGTTTGTCAGATGATTGAAAAAAAAAGCGGAGTGTGCTTCACAAAGAAAATGTAAATTGTTTGAATTTGGCGGCGATTAATTTTAGCGAGTTGGACTGACTTATTAAGAAATAGCTCCTTGAAATACAGTATCTTGGGATTTCTATTCACGGATCTCCCAGCTCGACACAGGCCGATCTTTTTAACTAGATAAATTACTCAAAGCGTCGAAAAAGAGGTTTCCTGCATT